ATATGCATTGTTATGTGATTATAAACATTTTGATATTAATATTCCAAAAATCATAAAATTGCGCACAAAATTATATAAAAGTATTACACGCGGATGCAATTAGAAATCAGCGATTTGTTGTCAGCTCTGACATAACTCCATAGGTGACCCGATGGCAATCGAATTACTATTACTTACATAATTAACAAGCGATTTGATGTTGCACGGCATCCGAATTCCGTATGTCTTCCGTAAATAATTATTGTATATTAAATTCAAGTTTAATCGCATAGCCTCGAATAACGATTTCGCAAAACGATTGTTATGAAAGCGCATTATATATAACGCTTAAAGTTAATTACGCAATGCGTGATAATAATTAAAATCTATCATTTTATTATAGCGACTCGTAATAAATAATGAACGATTAAATGTTTCTGTTACAAGAATCACTATCGCACAATAATCACGAACGAACAAATTTTTTTAACAAGCAATCACATAAATTTTTTAATTTATATTGTGAATCTTTACATTCTATATAAGGTGTGCGTTTCACAATAATGTATGTAGGAAATATAATGTATGTAGGATGTGTATAGGTGATAGTTGATTATGAATATACATTATCTACATCAATTACGTCTATTATTTAACATCCTGCATACAAATAGATAATTAAATTAATTCTACGAAAATATAGGTCACTATTGAAACATACAAAAGAAAATTAAAATTACTTCAAACAACACGCATGTTCAAAATTGGGATAAATAAGATATCTTAAAGATAGAGCAAATTCGATTGGACATACATATTCAAATTATCATACACAAATTTAATTTGAGTGTAAAAGAAATATGAATATTTCAAATGATAAAATATATATCTTACCTTAACAACATATTAAAGTATATTCTACGATTTAACCGGTTTCTACATTCAAAGAAAACTAAAAATAAATACTTGTTTAAATAATTTTAAGTAAATATTTATTAAATATAAAAACGTATATTTATTTGATATAAAAACCATTAATTTGATTTAACTCCTTTTTAATTTTTTTTTTATTGAATAAATACTTATAAATAATTAAATGTTTATTTAGTATTATATATTCAAAGAAATATATATTAAGATTTAGGAAATTTGTTTTTTCAATCAAATTCATTATTAAATATATGATATCTAAAGAAGTATTAATAAATCTTTAACTGATATGAATTTAAACTGTAGACAAACAATTTAAGCATTAAAGTTCATTAAAGTTCATTAAAAATTTATTATTAAAGTATATTACTAAATTGTTGAAATAAATTCGCTCGTTTTTTTGAGTATTCTGAAGTGTGTTCCACTAGATATTTTGTCATTCCAATATATTAAAAAATATTGAAAGGCTCGTATGACTTTGTGACTGCAATAAGAATTTAGATTTTGACAGAAATATTTTTAAATTTATTCTGTCTTATATTGATATTTTTATATAACTGTTTTTGCTCTTTGCATTATTATATTTTTTACAAGACTTTCTTGCGAATTTATATTACCATAAGCGTAAGTATTTGCCATCAGTACAACTATACTAATTTGTGCTCTCAAATATATACATATTCGTACAACTCTATTTATATTTCTACTGTGATTTAGAGTCTTTTACTGCGACCAAAATGACCTTTTGACAAATTTGTAGATTATAATTAATTCAAGCGCGAGATCCCTGCGAGAGGCCATGATTTTTTTTTATTTTAAACATAAATCTCAAAAAAAGTAACATAATCAGTCACGAATCATTTTTTTTTTAAGCACACGCTTTAAGAGAGTAGTTGTTTTAAGCCATACGCTTTAAAAAAGTAGTTTGTAGGGGAAATAATGGTTAATATAATATGATACTTAAGACGTCAAAACGAATGACGCTTCATTGTAGTCATGGTGGAATCAGATTTCATCACGGTCATAGTTACGTTCTGTTCCACACGAATGTAGGTTTTGTTAAGACAATATCGATATAAATACATATATGTATATATTAACGCTGTATTTATATAAAAATAAATTATTGTTATCGATGCAGATTCCATATCGATGCTGTTTTCATGTTGTACTTGTCATTATTTTATATCAATACATCATGGATTAATATAATAATGGTAATATTTCATAGATGTAAATGTGACATAACAATCTTAGACTCATTAATTAGGTTTACTTACGTATGCGATTTACTTACCTATTATTTGAGAGTCAATGTCTCATCCCGCGTTTCACTTTACAGAGAGTGCAACACAAACACTGAGTGACGAAATTGCAATTTATCCCTCGTCGTAGATCGCACAGATTGTGTATCCTCCGTAAAGTGCTAATAATTGCTTTGCTTAATCACGTATATTCCTAGAACAGACGCACCTTTACAACATAAGTTTACGTAACTCTGTATTATGAAATTTCTGTTGTTTCTAGATTTTCGCCCTGTTCGTATTACTTGGCATTTAATTGTGCATTACGTGTTTGCAAATCGTGATAAAGATATATTCCCTTGTGTGCATAAACTTCGGTCAGACATTTGACAGTTTACTGAGAGTCGGACGTGACTGTTTTACGATCCCTGCAATAAGATTTGCCGGATGTACATACGTAACAAGTCCATATATTTCACAATCCTACAAGGATATATCGCAAGAATTGATAAAGTAACATTATAGAATAAATTTTGAATCTTGTAAGTGACAAGAAAGTAAAGTATATTAACTTTATGAGCACTCATTGTAATCTTATGTTATAATTACTTTACAATTATGACATTTGAAACTATGATTGTATGTACTTATATACACAAAATGCATCTGTAATGTGATAACTTTAATCAATATTATGACTCATATATTAACAATTCTATGTTAAATATGTGATAATTTTTATTACTTTTTATATTTTTATTCACACATAATATTGAAGTATATATATTTATTAAAATTTTATCCTCATAGCCGTAATATTTAATACATTATCCGAAGCATGAAAAATTATATATCAAATTTTATTTTTTTTTCTCAAAATCTTTTGAAAGACCTTTTATAATTTCTTTCTATATAAGTTTTATTTAAAAAAATAAAATCAGATAATATCTTCGTATTTTTTAAAATTGTTTACCCTTAAATAATTGGATTCAATCTTAATATTCGAATAAATTTTGTGACAATTAATTGATTAATTTTTTTTGTTTATAGATAGTTTAAAACATTTTAAAGACATTATGACTTTGAAATTTATATAAACAGAAATCAAAAGTAGAAATCAATAAAGCGAATGAAAGCGCAGCGCAAGTATCAGTACGCAAAGTAATAAAATAAAAAATTTTAATTCCAAATTTAAACTTACGACGTCACCTAAATAATTTGTACGTGTTGACTTATTTTCTTAAGTCCTCCTCAATAGTGAAATATGAAATTAGTGTGTATATATTCTCTGCAAAATTGAATCAACAAATTGTTTTGTTTTTGCATTTTTGAAATAATAACTTCAAATGTGAATTAATAGTATTGAAAGTAAACTCAGCAGGGTAATCATTCTTTAATAAAGTCCTTTGTAGAAAAGTACTATTATGCAGTAGCATTTTGAGATATTATTGCATTATTATTACACTACAGCAGTAATGTAGTGGCGTAGTAGTGCGCAATAGTGCAGTAATTTGCAGTAGTGCAATAGTGTATTACACATTAGTGCTGTTGTAGTGCTGTAGTAATGTTGTAGTACTTCAAAATACTATTAGTATTAATAGTGTTCAGTAGTATAAGGACTATATAAGGACTATATTCTATAAGGACTAAGGTAAATTTTATTTTCACACCTTGGGCCAGGCTCACAGCTCTGATTAACTTAATGAATTGATTGTTAGTATATTTATTGTTAATTGGAGTTGACCAATTGCATTTGCTATTCAGCAGAATTGAACCAATCATAGTTGATACTTATCGATCGATTAGGTCAATCGGAGTTAGTGAGACTGACCCCTTCTCTCATAAAAAAAGAGATAATTTCATGCAAAAAATGCATTGGTATGACAGAACATTTTAAATATGATTTTAATTAAGAAAATGTCAAAGTATTTGATGTCGGGCGGTTTTTAAACAAAAGATTAATTCTGAATTTCTTCATATTCATATGTAAAAAAATGATCTTAATTTACGTTCTGACATTGAAGGCTTATATCATACTTATCTATTTTTAATAGATATAAAATAAGTTTTATCGCTTAATTATTTTTCTATATATCTTGATCATTTGACTTAATTGTTTTTAAGTGTTTCGTTTATGTTGATCTTTCTCTTTCAAATATTTACTCTGTTGATCAGTAGGATGCATCCGAAAATTTATCATTTTTTATGTACATGACTCTTCTATAAGTATGTTTTCTGGTTACATTATTGTAATGCGATAATGTTTAATTTTAACATTTATCAATTGTAATCCGAAGTTTTAAGAGGATTCCTGTGTTTGTCAAGGTAAGTCACTTTCTTATTTTAAATTACTTTAATATTTTTAATTATAATTGACTATTTAGTATATTATTAACAGATTTCTAAAACAAATCTGGTAATTTGTTGGTGACTCAATTTTAACATATAAAGTATGTACACATGCACACACTAATTTTGTATTTTAAGTTATTTGAATAACATCATCAATTTTGGAATAAAGGAATAAAGATTTTTTACTTTATTACTTTGCGTACTGATAATTACGTTATTCTCCTTCGCCCTATTGGTTTCTACTTTTGGTTTTAACATCTAGAGTCTGTAACAAGATAACTTTTGAAATGGTATAAATTAGGAATTTAATAATGATAATTATGAATTTTGACATTAAAAATTTAAATAAACATATATAACATATTAAATATTACTATGTAGAACTATAAATAAATTGTAAAAAGAATATTCCAATTTCACATGAAATTAATATATAATTTAATTTCATAAGGTGACATTATGAATGAATCAAGCGCTTCTAATTGCACTTTCCACAATACGATGTAGGAGCATTCCATTTATTAACCTTGCCGGTGACCGTTAATTGCATCAATTTCAGCAGATAAATGAACGCGTGTGTACATGATGATTAATTCAAACCAATTTTCGTGAATTTGAATACAAGTCGTTGATATTGTGTCATTAGGAACAAATTTTATTAAAAAATTTTTTTGCATATCGCCGCCAATTTAAACAAACAGTTTTCTTCCGAATAATAGAGCGAGGAGAAGATTGAGAAGAAGAAACTAAATAATAAGTTTTCAATTAAAAGATCATATGACTTTTAATTTAGTCTTATGTTGTGTTTTAATACTTATTGTCATATACATATTTCTTGTATCTACTTCACATAATATTTCTTGTATTTCAGTTATGCAGCGGAAGAGCTCGATGAATACATAAAAACTGTGTAAATGTGTAAAAAAATGATTATATTGTATAATTTTCAAAAAAAAAGAGAGAATATATATTGAAAGAAAAGATTGACTGAATATGGTATAACATTTTAATCCATCTAAATTGCTACAGCAGCCAATATTTTCAAGAGATCTGGGTTCGACTTCCGGCCGAGGCAATATTTTTCGCAATAAGTTTATTACAGTTTTTTAAGATTAAATTTGGAAAATTTGGGGGGATTATTAATATTTTAGATTGATTGCATTGAAAGTTCGACAACCATATCGGCACGCAATTATCATTTCTGAAATTAATTCATTTATATAAATATATAATAATTCAACATCTTAATATTCAGACCATAATGGTGTTTAGTATTTAAAGTAATATATTGTATTTAACATAAATGGTCTTGTTTCCAAACTTATTGTTAATAAAAATTGTGTTTCTTCTTTGTGATTTATTTCTAAGAAAGGAAAACTATATCAATTAGTGATAGTTTTGATGATAATTTTTGAAAAGAACAAACAAGAAGATTTATAATTATTATGAATATTTTTTATGATTATTTTTTAAAAATACAAATAATAGAATAACTTCCTGAATTATAAAATACGCTAATTAAAAGAAAGATTAAATCGTTACATCTATGCGCATAAATACAATATATTAGTAGTGTAGTAAAAAGAAATCCTTTATTTTTCCATTCAATTTTATGCAAAAATAATGGATTTCTTTTTACTACACCTAATATATCAATGAATATATATCAATGAATGTATTTTTTATCGTCTCCTCAAAAGAATGTTTCTTATCTCCCATAATGTTATCATCAATCTAATTAAAAATTCTGCGGTATTATCACATTAAATTATGATTAGACCGACCTTGTTAAAAATAACCCCGACGAATAAGAGAGTTGATACAGATATCAAAAGTAGTCAATTGTTGTAATCAAATAGATTGGGAAATTTTGTGTAGAATGAAAATTTTTCATATAGAGATAAGAACTATTATAAAAACAATACGGCAATTACATATTCTCACAATTAGATTTTGTACTGTGACTGAATTATACAACTTGTTGATATGCGCAGATAAAGTAATCATGCTAATGAAGTAATCCGAAAACAAAAGTCAAATGTCCTAGAAAGCATAAACGAGATAGTGTACCAAGGTAGGCTTTATTCGCTACTTTATAGTGGACTATAGTGGCGCAGCTTTTCTAACTTTAATTAATTTTTAGAAGAAGTTACGAGAGAGTTTTGTATCGTCGTGTATTTATTGTTTATTAAACTGATATAGATGTTGTTTATATCATGTAAAATTGAAGCAATCTTTGATCAATCGTACATATTTAATAGTACATATTTTAATAGTATACATATTTAATAGTAATTATGCGTGTCAAAGAAATATTCAGCTAATTGTTATTTTTGCAATTATAGAGCAAATTTATTCTAAATGTGATTTTATTTAAAATTGAAGAAATAACAACGTATATGGAGTAATCCCAACTCATAATAAATAATCGCTAAAAATCGAACTAAAAATATTTTGTCTCGAAGTTGTAATTAAAAAAAAAATTACACATATTGTCATTTATTTTTGAGATCTATATTTTAGAAATCTAAAAACTTTACATTTATTTTTTATATTTCGAATAGTTATTGAGCGTCGTTGATTTTGCAATTTATCGATTTTTCCCCTTACAGATTTAATAACCTTCTTTACGCTTTGCCTAAAGTAATTGAGAATTCACAGAGGATAGTAAATTAAATTACGCAGTTTCCTTTGTTGTATGCACCCCAATAATGGGTAACATCGAAAATCGACCGAAAGGCGGCGCACCTCGCCTCGATGCAGCATTAATGAAATCGGAATCACTTTGTCGTAGCAAATCCTGCAGCGTTTGCTTTATCCTGAGTTTAATTTGCATCCATCTGGCAACCTTAATCATTGTATTAGACCAAACTATCGTCGAGGCGGAAAGCTACGGTCAACATGGTAAGAACATAAAAATTCAAATTGTTGTCAGTCTTAAAATGGAGTATTTTTTCAAAAATTGCTCCTGTAATAATAATGTGTCATACTTACTGATTATAACATTGTAGAGCCACAAGTTTTTGAAAAAAAAAGAGATTAATCCACAAGAAAAATTACAAAATATAAATCGAGGTGCATTTAGCGCGTTTAATGAAAATTTAATATTTAACATGTTTGCATTTCAACGCAACAAGCAACTTCGTGGGTATCTCATATGAGTTCATGATGTCTTGGCGGTAGATTTAAAAATTGTTTGAATGTTCCAGCAGTTCTCTTCAGTATGGCATAGTGAAATAGTATCTTTCTATACTTTAAGATTAATTGGAGCCTTTTTTTTCGAAAATAAACAAAAGTTACTTCGCTACCGACGAAACGTTTTTTATATTTTTTAAAAATAATAATAAAATCTTGTCCAAATAATTTTCCTGCAATCAAATATAATAAAAAAATTGAAATTATGTCTATTTTCTCACCTAAGAATATTATTTTTAAGTTTTGTTGATAATTAGCTAATTAGTTAATGTTGCGTATAAACAATATTTAAAAAAAATTGATTAAGAAATTTATTTGTATTTTAACAAAATAATGAGATTATGATTAGATATCATTAGAAACAATTAGATCTAATCTATTACTAGATACAGTTTTTCTGTTGAAGAGAACAAGTGCTTTATTTATTGTCAGACTTATTATTTAACAAAATTATTTTCAACATATCAAAAGTTATTTTTAACTTGAAGTATAGTATGGATTAAACACGCAAATATATTCGGACATCTACGAATTGTTTAAATCAATTCAAAGCGAAATCATATTCCGATTTCGTGATCAGCTGATCGAGGAAAAACTCGTGCACGAAAAATGAACTACATTTTAGCGATCCAATTTACAATAATTTACAATAATTAATTTAATAATTTATAATAATTTAAATTAAACAAATATTTTATATTTGAAATTTAATACAAATGTTATTTCACTGACCATCTATAAGGATTCAATAAAATAACTGTTATGATTTATTTAAAATGAAA